CGCTACATCACACTGTAACAGTGTGACATTGTCACATTTTCTCATTCTCACATTGTCACAGTTTCACATTGTCACACTATCATATTGTTTCCGTCTCCCAGTGTCACACTGTCACCCTATCCCATTGTCACAGTGTCACTCTGTCTCTGTCACACCCTCTACAGCTAGAGGGCGCTCCTGCTCTGTCCTGTTCTTAGTTTCCCTGTGCTGTTCTTGTTCTTCCGATGTGTCTTGCTGTCTGGGGCTTTATATTTCCGGGTCTCTCTATCCTCCTGGCTCAGCATTGTGACTGGTTGTCGAGAGGCTCGCCTCACCAGGTCGTCTCACGTCCGCTACCTGAGGGCTTACGTCTCGTTCCAACTCCACCCGATACCTTGAGCCCGGACTGAACCCCCATGTTTGCTCTGTTCCAGCCTCTACGCATATGGTCCTCCTGTCTCGCCGGTCTCTCTCCATGGCTAGCCCCTGACTTCCATGACAGTCTCCCTCTCTCATCTGCAGAAAAGCTGCACTCTTCCATATATCTCACCCCCATCCTATGTCTGTCTCACTCCAGTCCCAGGTGTCCTCTGTGTGTCTGTCTCACTCCAGGCTCAGGTGTCCTCTTTGTGTCTGTCTCACTCCATGCTCAGGTGTCCTCTGTGGTTCTGTCTCACTCCAGCCACAGGTGTCCTCTGTGTGTCTGTCTCACTCCAGACCCAGATGTCATCTAAGTGTCTCACTCCCAGTCCCAGGTGTCCTCTGTGTGTCTCACTCACAGCTCCAGGTATTCCGCGTGTGTCAGTCAAAGTGGTGGAGGTGGTGCTTGAACACTGTAGGCTTTGAGACCTGCCTATCCCCTGCAGTGTTGTCACTGCTCTCCTGTCCCCAGAGAATTTAATCTTCAATTATCCAATAGCAAAGCTTAGACTCTGGACAGGGACTCCAAGAGCTGCTACAAGAGTTTTCCCACCTGATCTGGTCAAGCCCCAGGTGCTGAGGGGATGGGAGGTAATAGCAGTGATGGACCAGCAGGTGGTGCTCTTCCCCCTGGACCCCAATGTCCGAACCACCTCTCCAGTATGCTGGCGAGGGAGGTGACGTGGAACTGAGGTTGTGAGCACTTGGCCACCCATGTCTCTTTGTGAAAGTAGAGTGTTTGGCTTAAACCCCACTCTAGACTGACCCTTGGAACTCTTGGGACTCTTGGAAGTTCAGGGGCACTAGGGATTCCTCAGCGGAGCACCTACTGCTTGAGAATGAGATTGTTTTGGGATAAACTGCAAAGGCCTTGCTATCATTTGTGCTTCTGGAAGATTATCTTGAAGATTATCGCCACACTGACGTTGTTTCTGTCTTCTCACAGGGCAAGGCAGGAGAGTCAGACAAGACCAGCCACCAGCACACGCACGGTGAGACAGGAGGCGTGAGTGGGGGCAGGGGGGCTGGACAGCAAGTCAGGATGACACACTGACACGTGTCCTGAAAGCTCTGGAGCTCAGATCTCTTCTCAGCCTTCTGCTGGTCGGGAGGGAGACAGTTCTGGCGCTCAAAGAGGAATTCTTGGCATTCTGTCCCTTTGTTTGGTCAAAAATGAAAATTCTAGCTGTTTAGGAGTGAAACACCTTGAGGGTCCTCCTGGAGGGTAGGTTTCAGGGAGATGTTGTTCAGATGCTTGCAGAGCTGGAAGTAAATTTGAAACCGAAACGAGGGGAGAGAGGGCTTGGCGCCGTCATGACTCACAGTGATTACACACCACCAGCCCTGCACATTGTTACAGCTGATGCATGATGGGTAACAGAGAAAATGGCAGTCCTGCAAAAGCAGCAGGGCCCCCACACAGCCACAAGAGCCCCAGCAAACACGAACCCAGGATTCCCAGTCTTGGGATCCCTCTGGAGCTAAAAGATTTCCCCACACGTGCTCCAGCTGGGCCAGGGTGTCTTCTTCAAGCTGCCCCCAGGAAACTCTTTTGGGGTGACCATTGTACTGTGCCCTGTCTGCTGCCTGAGCTCTTCAGCTCACGGCTCATGGAAACTAGAGGTTGAGAGTTTGAATCTAACTGGCTGTATATCAAGGTTTATAAACAAATGGGACACTTAAATTAGCTGTCTCCCCACATATTACAAAAATAGCCCCAAATTCCTACAACAGGGCTGGTGATTTCACCTAGTCTTCCTGAAGCACCCCCAGCTTTGTTTTGCTGTTTAATATTATTGAATCAGATGCAGGTCAGCCAGCAGCACCAGTGTGTGGAAGTTAATGAGTGACCCATCAAAACCAGCGCTGATCAATACTCCCACACAGGGTTGTTTGTTGAGTGCCAAAGTGCAGAAGGAAGCTGCAGACATGTTCTTGTTACTTTGTGCAGGCTCGCGTGTGAATTAGCACTATTCTCTGCACAGACAC